GAGAGAGAGAGAGAGAGAGAGAGAGAGAGAGAGAGAGTAGGAGAGTCGTATAGGCAGTCAGATCACAGTAGAGCTGTTGCATTGTTGTTATACTGACAAGTGGAGGTGAGAGGTTGGGCTTTCTTTATAGAGAGGACTTTTGTGCCACTGTGTTCTCGATTGGTGTGCTATTGGCGTCGTAATTCTGCGAGGAACCTTGCTCATATATGCTTGTTATGCTTTGAGCTCCCAGCCACCTTACTTTTTCTACCGCCCATGCAGTCTGTTCTTTTCTTTCTTTTTGGCTTCCCCTTTTTTTTTTATCAAAAAAGGTCCAGGGTGTAGTGGAGGGTGGTGGCCAGGCCTCAGGAGGTGCCCGTAGTACTGAGCTCAGCCATTGGGAGATCAGATGGATTGCGAGGACCCAGGGGGAAGTCATTTCAGGATGGCACCACGGTACCATGACCTATGGTAATGCTCATCAGATCGCAAGTCGTGATCTGCCCCAATGCTTACAGGACTAACCCGAACGGCTTCGTGCAGAGACTACCCTCCCATAACTCTAATGTTAAGGACGACCCGGGCACAGGTGTTCTTCACGGTTTGTGTTTTATTTTCTTCTTTTAACTCTCCCTTTACTGTGACTCTCACGTACAAGGCTCGCCACGTTGATGTAGTTAAGCGCGAGCTGCCTCCTACATCCCTGCGTGCCATATCGCGGCGCACTTGCATGCTGTGAAAAAAAAAGAGAGAGTAAGGGAGAGGGGATATAGAGAGAGGAAAGACGGAAAGGGGAAGACAAGCCAGACAAAGGGAACGTAAGGAGTGTGGAACAAAGTCCTTCTGGACATCCGTTGAAATTGGAACGATATACTCCATTATAAACTGCAAGATTATCTGCGTGGTCCATCGCGATCATAATTCTTATTCGCATAGGAAGGATATAAAGTTCATTTATAAACTTTGTAAGTGCGTCGCTCAAATCCATACTTCTTAGGTCGTTCTACAAGCTCCTTGATAGGGGCTCGGTGGAGAATGAGTCTCCGGTGCATCCCCCTTCATCGGTATACTTTTTCGTGCGCTTCGCATCTAACCCAAGAGACTTGATTTTGCGCCTTCCATTTCAGAGCATGAATTTGGGTACGGGGCCCAGTCTCCAGCAAGTGTTGCTCCCCACCAATAAAGATCGGAGCCACATGAGTCGGGGTAGTACCTGGTGGTGCTCATCCCACTCGAGGGGAGGACCCTCAATGCGGTGTTTTCCTAGGCTACCAGAGTCACCTGAGACCCCACTTGCCCGGCCAGGCCAAATAAAAATAAAAAATATGTTTTTTAATTTTATTTTATATTTTTTATTTGGTAAAGCGTTTCGATGTGACCCTGAGGCAAAAGTTGTTCAGTTTGTTTTTCTGCATAACATATTTTTTTCTGGGCTGAACTCCGGGCCGCCCGGCGGCCTGCTCGTCGCCCGGGCGGGGGGCCGGGCCGCCTGGCCGGTCATTCCACCCGGTTGGCCACCAGGCCACCCCAGCGCATTGTCG